AAGAATATTGTTAACAGGAGGGGAACACGAACGCAACAACTGCGATGGGGAAGTGTGTTTTTACCCGCAAATGGCTAGACGATCCAAGATTTTTTTCGGTGAGGGAGTTCAAGGTTGATAGGACTTCTGCTATGAGCTCGCTGTGTAACAAAATTATCGATCTGGGCAAGATGAAAAGTCATTAACACGTGAAACATTTTCGGGGACCGCTTCGACTCGGCCTTGGACACTTTTATACCAAACCCTCTACTTCAACGACAAATACATTGAGACCTACCTCGACTGTTCCTAATCCAAATCCGAACACCGATGACTTTCCTTCAGTCCTAGCCCCTCAAGGCCTTGTTGTTTATTAAAATTGTTTGTTTATTTTGCAATATAAATGAGCCCTTGAATTTTCAAAATTTGTTTTGAAAAACCCTTGAAAAGTCCTTAAATTTTGAGGTCAAAAGTTTGTATGAACCATGTATAATGTAATATACTGGTCTGACACGGGACAACCACCTGTTAGTACTGGTAGGTGTGTAATGTAATATACTGGTCTGACACGGGACAACCACCTGTTAGTACTGGTAGTTGTATAATGTAATATACTGGTCTGTCACAGGACAACCACCTGTTAGTACTGGTACATTTTTGTAGTTGTGTAATGTAATATACTGGTCTGACACAGGACAACCACCTGTTTGTACTGGTAGTTGTATAATGTAATATACTGGTCTGACACAGGACAACCACCTGTTAGTACTGGTAGTTGTGTAATGTAATATACTGGTCTGACACAGGACAACCACCTGTTAGTACTGGTAGTTGTGTAATGTAATATACTGGTCTGACACAGGACAACCACCTGTTAGTACTGGTAGTTGTGTAATGTAATATACTGGTCTGACACAGGACAACCACCTGTTAGTACTGGTAGTTGTGTAATGTAATATACTGGTCTGACACAGGACAACCACCTGTTAGTACTGGTAGTTGTGTAATGTAATATACTGGTCTGACACAGGACAACCACCTGTTAGTACTGGTAGTTGTGTAATGTAATATACTGGTCTGACACAGGACAACCACCTGTTAGTACTGGTAGTTGTGTAATGTAATATACTGGTCTGACACAGGACAACCACCTGTTAGTACTGGTAGTTGTGTAATGTAATATACTGGTCTGACACAGGACAACCACCTGTTAGTACTGGTAGTTGTGTAATGTAATATACTGGTCTGACACAGGACAACCACCTGTTAGTACTGGTAGTTGTGTAATGTAATATACTGGTCTGACACAGGACAACTTGGAGATAGACACATGCATTTTGTTTCCTGTAATGCATGTCCTACAGAATATGAATACTGATACTTAGCTATAAATAGGTTTAACTTGTTTAGCTTTAATAGCCAGCTAGTGTTGGCAGGTTATGTCAGTATGATGCAGAACACTATGCAAACACTATTCCTGTGCTAGGGAAAGGGGGCATGTGGGATATAGAACTTATGTTAAGGTGGAGTTGTGATGATGGTGTTGTAATAGTGGTGTAATGAGTCACCACTGGACTATATAATAATCAGCTGCATAACACCACTGTAAGCTAGTAATTCAAATAAAAACTAGAGTTGTGTGACTAATCCTGCTAAAACACCACTAGATTTTGGTGTAGTATCTTTGTGACGTATATTTTCTAAACATACTTTATAAAGATTCATTAATCATCTGTAGATTACCTAATGGATTCCCAAGTTTAAGCTGATTACCAGATCACAGTGTGTGACTGACATGTGTGAACAGGATACAGGTGTTATAATGTCTATCACCTGTTACGTATACATGTACAGATCTGTCTGGATCTGTGATACATGTGTAGTACAAACACCCCATTTGTAGGCTATACCTGTTCTGTGGTGTACAATTCAAACCCAGCTGTGAGAAATCATAACATCATATATAGCTCCTTGTATTTTGTGTACCGTATTCTCACAATTTAAATAAATGTCTACTCTATGTTTGACCATATATATATACATTACGTACATTTAGACAAGTTTGATAATAGACTGAGTCTGACTGACAGCATTTTTCATAGTGCAGTAACATGTACTGTAGATAGATATCATTTATCATAGAACATCTGATCAGCAGTTATCATAAGAGTGACAACATTAATCAAAGACTGACAACATCAATCATAGACTGACAACATCAATCATAGAGTGACAACGTCAATCATAGAGTGACAACATTAATCATAGACTGACAACATCAATCATAGAGTGACAACATTAATTATAGAGTGACAACATTAATCTTAGACTGACAACATCAATCATAGAGTGACAACATTAATTATAGAGTGACAACGTCAATCATAGACTGACAACGTCAATCATAGACTGACAACATTAATCATAGACTGACAACATCAATCATAGAGTGACAACATCAATCATAGAGTGACAACATTAATCATAGAGTGACAACATTAATCATAGAGTGACAACATCAATCATAGACTGACAACATCAATCATAGAGTGACAACATCAATCATAGAGTGACAACATTAATCATAGAGTGACAACATTAATCATAGAGTGACAACATCAATCATAGACTGACAACATCAATCATAGAGTGACAACATCAATCATAGAGTGACAACATCAATCATAGACTGACAACATTAATCATAGACTGACAACATCAATCATAGACTGACAACATTTATCAGAGTGACAACATCAATCATAGACTGACAACATCAATCATAGACTGACAACATCAATCATAGACTGACAGCATTAATCGTAGACTGACAACATCAATCATAGACTGACAACATTTACCATATTTATTACGCCAATATTGTCATAAGCTGACAAAGTTTGTCAACATATATATTACTGATAGGCTCGCTATGGGTTTACCATTAATTTAGCAACACCAACAATGATAAGTATAACATTGAATTGCTACATGTACCTCTCCAAAAGGTCTTACTTAAACCTGGTATTACATTATCTCATTAAGTAGGTGTTTCATTAGTGATAGATAGTCTTTTACATTGATTCATAAAAATATGATGTTATTGTATCGTTGTGTTACTATTGCGCAAATTCAATCGCATTGAAATATTTATTCATACTGTCTTATACTGGATCATACTTGTCAGGTCCACCAGATAACTGGATCATACTGGGCAGGTCCACCAGATAACTGGATCATGCTTGTCAGGTCCGCCAGATAACTGGATCATACTGGTCAGGTCAACCAGATAACTGGATCATACTGGTCAGGTCAACCAGATAACTGGATCATACTGGTCAGGTCCCCCAGATAACTGGATCATACTGGTCAGCTCCACCAGATAACTGGATCATACTTGTTAGGTCCACCAGATAACTGGATAATACTGGTCAGGTCCACCAGATAACTAGATCATACTGGTCAGGTCCACCAGATAACTTGATCATGCTTGTCAGGTCCACCAGATAACTGGATCATACTGGTCAGGTCCACCAGATAACTGGATCATACTGGTAAGGCCTAGGTCCACCAGATAACTGGATCATACTGGTCAGGTCCACCATATAACTGGATCATACTGGTCAGGTCCACCAGGTAACTGGATCATACTGGTCTGGTCCACCAGATAACTGGATCATACTGGTCATGTCCACCAGATAACTAGATCATACTGGTCAAGTCCACCAGATAACTGGATCATACTGGTCAGGTTCACCAGATAACTGGATCATACTGGTAAGGCCTAGGTCCACCAGATAACTGGATCATACTGGTCTGGTCCACCAGATAACTGGATCATACTGGTCATGTCCACCAGATAACTAGATCATACTGGTCAAGTCCACCAGATAACTGGATCATACTGGTCAGGTCAACCAGATAACTGGATCATACTGGTCAGGTCCTCCAGATAACTGGATCATACTGGTAAGGCCTAGGTCCACCAGAGAACTGGATCATACTGGTCAGGTCCACCAGATAGCTGGATCATACTGGTCAGGTCCACCAGATAACTGATCATACTTGTTAGGTCCACCAGATAACTGGATCATACTGGTCTGGTCCAACAGATAACTGGATCATACTGGTCAGGTCCACCATATAACTGGATCATACTGGTCAGGTCCACCAGGTAACTGGATCATACTGGTCTGGTCCACCAGATAACTGGATCATACTGGTCAGGTCCACCATATAACTGGATCATACTGGTCAGGTCCACCAGATAGCTGGATCATACTGGTCAGGTCCACCAGATAACTGATCATACTTGTTAGGTCCACCAGATAACTGGATAATGCTGGTCAGGTCCACCAGATAACTGGATAATACTGATCAGGTCCACCAGATAACTGGATCATACTGGTCATGTCCACCAGATAACTAGATCATACTGGTCAAGTCCACCAGATAACTGGATCATACTGGTCAGGTTCACCAGATAACTGGATCATACTGGTCAGGTCCCCCAGATAACTGGATCATACTGGTCAGGTCCACCAGATAACTGCCTGACTATAGTCAGGACTGTGACGTTATCTTTTAAGATATTCACGAATTTATGACAATGACATATATTTTGTGGCAGAATGTCTGCAAATATTTTAGGTATTGGCATGTTTTTGTCCACAATGGATTGGATGTAGTTATCAAACATATAACAGACTTGTTGCTTTTTTCCCATAAATCAAAATTCAAGCTACATGTGTCAGACTTATGCAGAAGATACTATACCCCTTTTTATACGACCGTCAAATTTGACGGTAGTATTATGGTATGGCGTTGTCCGTCCGTTACAACGGGTGTATTAACGTTGGGGGAAATCCGTTCTGAGTAAATTAATGGTGGCATTACAACGGGGTTTTACTTTATATCTTTTAACATCAAAATATAAAACAAAACACAACCTGATTATGTATGATACTTAACCCGCTTATTCTTGATTATGTATGATATTTAACTCCTCTGATTCTCCACAGCTGCCCTCCGAGGACTTTCTTGCCTGCCCTGTGCAGGATCTTCTTGGACGAGTGTGCCCCTGATAATGTGCTTGAGGTGACTGCAAGAGCCATCACATACTACCTGGATGTGTCTGCTGAGTGCACCCGCCGTATTGTGGCCGTTGATGGCGCCATCAAGGCTCTGTGTAACAGGTTGGTTGTCGTGGAGATGTCCTCCCGCACCAGTCGTGACCTTGCTGAACAGTGCATTAAGGTAGGATTCAACTTTGACTTTTCTTCACTGTAGAAATGGAAACCAATTGATCTGAGAGTTGCACTTTCTGAAGATTACATACCAGGTATTTGTTCTACAATTCTGACAGAAGAGGTGGTCTCTCTAGACAGATCTTACTGTTCTGATAGAAGGGATGGCATCTCTAGATATGTTCTATTGTAGTTTGTACTGACAGAAGAGGTGGTCTCTCTAGACAGATCTTACTGTTCTGACAGAAGGGATGGCATCTCTAGATATGTTCTATTGTAGTTTGTTCTGACAGAAGAGGTGGTCTCTCTAGACAGATCTTACTGTTCTGACAGAAGGGATGGCATCTCTAGATATGTTCTATTGTAGTTTGTTCTGACAGAAGAGGTGGTCTCTCTAGACAGATCTTACTGTTCTGACAGAAGGGATGGCATCTCTAGATATGTTCTATTGTAGTTTGTTCTGACAGAAGAGGTGGTCTCTCTAGACAGATCTTACTGTTCTGACAGAAGGGATGGCATCTCTAGATATGTTCTATTGTAGTTTGTTCTGACAGAAGAGGTGGTCTCTCTAGACAGATCTTACTGTTCTGACAGAAGGGATGGCATCTCTAGATATGTTCTATTGTAGTTTGTTCTGACAGAAGAGGTGGTCTCTCTAGACAGATCTTACTGTTCTGACAGAAGGGATGGCATCTCTAGATATGTTCTATTGTAGTTTGTTCTGACAGAAGAGGTGGTCTCTCTAGACAGATCTTACTGTTCTGACAGAAGGGATGGCATCTCTAGATATGTTCTATTGTAGTTTGTTCTGACAGAAGAGGTGGTCTCTCTAGACAGATCTTACTGTTCTGACAGAAGGGATGGCATCTCTAGATATGTTCTATTGTAGTTTGTTCTGACAGAAGAGGTGGTCTCTCTAGACAGATCTTACTGTTCTGACAGAAGGGATGGCATCTCTAGATATGTTCTATTGTAGTTTGTTCTGACAGAAGAGGTGGTCTCTCTAGACAGATCTTACTGTTCTGACAGAAGGGATGGCATCTCTAGATATGTTCTATTGTAGTTTGTTCTGACAGAAGAGGTGGTCTCTCTAGACAGATCTTACTGTTCTGACAGAAGGGATGGCATCTCTAGATATGTTCTATTGTAGTTTGTTCTGACAGAAGAGGTGGTCTCTCTAGACAGATCTTACTGTTCTGACAGAAGGGATGGCATCTCTAGATATGTTCTATTGTAGTTTGTTCTGACAGAAGAGGTGGTCTCTCTAGACAGATCTTACTGTTCTGACAGAAGGGATGGCATCTCTAGATATGTTCTATTGTAGTTTGTTCTGACAGAAGAGGTGGTCTCTCTAGACAGATCTTACTGTTCTGACAGAAGGGATGGCATCTCTAGATATGTTCTATTGTAGTTTGTTCTGACAGAAGAGGTGGTCTCTCTAGACAGATCTTACTGTTCTGACAGAAGGGATGGCATCTCTAGATATGTTCTATTGTAGTTTGTTCTGACAGAAGAGGTGGTCTCTCTAGACAGATCTTACTGTTCTGACAGAAGGGATGGCATCTCTAGATATGTTCTATTGTAGTTTGTTCTGACAGAAGAGGTGGTCTCTGTAGACAGATTTTACTGTTCTGACAGAAGCGATGGCATCTCTAGATATGTTCCATTGTAGTTTGTACTGACATAAGAGGTGGTCTCTCTAGACAGATCTTACTGTTCTAACAGAAGGGATGGCATCTCTAGATATGTTCCATTGTAGTTTGTACTGACATAAGAGGTGGTCTCTCTAGACAGATGTTACTGTTCTGACAGAAGCGATGGCATCTCTAGATATGTTCCATTGTAGTTTGTACTGACAGAAGAGGTGGTCTCCTAATTAGGTTAACCTGCAATTGTTGAGAGTACTGCTACCAATATGTGTTCTGACAGAATGGATGGCATCTCTAGATATGTTCTATTGTAGTTTGTACTGACAGAAGAGGTGGTCTCCTAATGAGGTTAACCTGCAATTGTTGAGAGTACTGCTACCAATATGTACACAGCATATGTAGATGTTAAAAACCATTCAAATTTGGGTTGTTACAATCTCTGAAAATATGAATACCATGCTTGGTTATCTGAGTAAATATTAAGCCTACTGACAGTGTATTACTATGAATAGATACAATATATCAGATACCCTTTTTATCTTGATTCCCTACTCCCATAACCCCCCTCCACGTCATGATTCCCCACCCCAACGACCCCCTCCTCCACATTTATCAATAAAACTGATCTATGTTATATGTTATGAACAGGTAATGGAGCGGATCTGTACCCGAGAGTCTGGGGCAGTGTTTGATGCGGGCGGCCTGAACTGTGTGCTGATGTTTATTCAGCAGCATGGGTCACAGGTACACAAGGACACACTCCACTCCTCCATGTCTGTGGTGTCAAGGCTCTGTGGCAAGATGGAGCCACAGGATCCGTCCTTGGAGGAATGTGTCGTGTCCCTGTCTACACTGTTGGAGCATGAGGACCAGTTTGTAAGTATTTAATATGGCTTCAGTAATCATTAAACCTGCCTTCCAGGTTTTAAATGCAAAATGCACATGTAATTTTAAAGAAAAAGATAGAATGATGCATTTTACCCATTAACTATGTGCTGTCTATGGTAAATCCTTATACAGTATATAGATCTAGTGTTGTGTACATAATTAAACTCCATGTTCCCATACACACAGGTGTCTGATGGCTCTCTAAGGTGCTTTGCCTCACTGGCTGATCGGTTTACCCGTCGAGGAGTAGACCCCTCTCCTCTGTCTCAGCATGGCCTTATCAATGAACTGCTGCTGCGTCTTCAGAAGGCTGGAGAGTCCGGCCACAACGCGTCTGTATCCAGTACACCTGGGACAGTCAGTATCACCTCGGAGTCCAAGTCCAGCCCAAGTATATCCACAGTCATCAGCCTGCTGTCCACTCTCTGTCGCGGGTCCCCCAGCATCACACACGACCTCCTTCGGTCAGAACTGCCTGATGCAGTGGAAAGTGGACTAAAGGGAGATGAGAGGTAATAGAGAAGTGGACTTGAGAGGGATAAGAGGTGCAAAAATTGAGCTTCAAGTGTTAATTAAAACATGTCAAGAAATGTTCATAATAGACAGTTTAAACACACTGCAAGATCTTTTCCTGTTAATTTATTATTATAATTATAACATTAAAATTCTTTATTATTTGTGACGCAGTCCTCAAAGAGTAACGATTTTTGGGATTGTAAACGCCCGAAAGTTTGAAGGGTTGTCCTAAAAATCCCTGAATTTGTGTGTTTGACATAAAAGTTGAAGATCCAGCTGATCAAAGATCCTGAACTAGGAGAGAGAAAAAAAAAAAAATCAGAAGAAGTCTGTTCTAATCATCAGTAATAATGCAGTGTTGTTTGGGAGGAGGGGAGTTAATTGAGAGCACTGGCAAATAACTCTACAATCAGAGTTCTAAAAATACCTTTTTGTCATGATCTGTAAAGAAGGTAGAAGTTTCAGTGATAAAGGTACAAATAAATGTAAAATAGTGTTAAATCAGTTTGTTTTGGCCCTTATGTAGGACCCTAATATAAGGTTTGAAACATGTTTGAAGACCTTTATTAGTATGGTTTTCTGTGTTACAGATGCTGCCTGGACACAATGCGTCTAGTAGACCTGTTACTGGTACTGCTGTTTGAGGGGAGGAAAGCCTTACCTAAGGCTGGTGTGTCCAGTATTACAAGTCGTATCTCAGGACTACGTCGCACTGACAGCTCAGGGGAGCGATCCCACCGCCAACTCATTGACTGTATACGAAGTAAAGACACGGATGCTCTCATAGATGCTGTGGACAATGGTAGGGGCTCTCATAGATGTGTTAGATAATGAAGGTACCTCTCAAAGATGTGTTAGACACTGGTAGTAGCTACCATAGATAACACAGACACAATATAGTAGAGGCTACTGTTACGTTCATTCCGTGTCCTAGATTTTACTAGTAATAAAACTACTTTGTGTAAAGCCCTGTTATCTCTTATCGTCTACAGGGGCATATCCTGCCTCACTGAGATATTGAAAGTACTTTCATTTTCTAAAAATGTAGGTCTAAGTTGAGAATGTATCTTTTACCCAAGTAACTGTTTTCTAAGTAGTGATTCCCTGGGATTATTACAAGATCATTACAGTAAGGACCTTGGGAATCAGTAAGGACCTAGGGAATCAGTAAGGACCTTGGGAATCGGTAAGAGCCTTTGGAATCAGTAAGGACCTTGGGAATCAATAAGGACCTTGGGAATCAGTAAGGACCTAGGGAATCAGTAAGGACCTTGGGAATCAGTAAGGACCTTGGGAATCAGTAAGGACCTTGGGAATCAGTAAGGACCTTGGGAATCAGTAAGGACCTTGGGAATCTGTAAGGACCTAGGGAATCAGTAAGAACCTTGGGTTGGTTAAATTGTAATATGTGATTAATGTTGTATGACTTCAGGGTTTGAGGTGAACTTCATGGATGATGTTGGACAGACTCTGTTGAACTGGGCATCAGCCTTCGGAACACAGGAAATGGTATGGCGTTCTCTTCTCTATTAAACCCCATCAGAAACAACACTATCTATATCAACTGTAGAACAGATTTTGTAGTTTTCTTCAAATTCTTTGTTTTGGCTTTGTTTATAATTACACCAAGCTCAATATTTTATTCATACACAACTGTCTGTTACGATAGGTGATACTGTATATATGTATAGTAGAAGTATCAAGTCCCTGTCGTTTACAGGTCCTTAAATGACCTTTGCTGTTGATAGGATGTTAAACCCAGTACAACCAACAAACCCTGTCATTTTCACTGTGTAGTTTCTGTATGTATACTATAAGTAGCAAACGTCCGTGTTTTCTAAGGTCGAGTTTCTGTGTGAACGAGGTGCTGACGTTAACCGGGGTCTGAGATCATCATCATTACATTATGCAGCCTGCTTCGGACGACCTCAAATTGTCAAGGTAAATTTGTGATCAACTGTGTCTGGAATAGAGGGATAAGAATGAATATTTTATCTTAGAAATATGATGGTGTTAAAGTAGTTCCTATAGTAGTTCTCAAATGATAAAGGTTACAGTAAAATAGTTCCTATAGTAGTTCTCAAATGATAAAGGTTACAGTAAAGTAGTTCTTATAGTAGTTCTCTAATGATAAAGGTTACAGTAAAGAAGTTCCTAAAGTAGTTCTCTAATGATAAAGGTTACAGTAAAGTAGTTCCTAAAGAAGTTCCTAAAGTAGTTCTCAAATGATAAAGGTTACAGTAAACTAGTTCCTATAGTAATTCTCAAATGATAAAGGTTACAGTAAACTAGTTCCTAAAGTAGTTCTCTCATGATAAAGGTTACAGTAAAGAAGTTCCTAAAGTAGTTCTCTAATGATAAAGGTTACAGTAAAGTAGCTCCTATAGTAGTTCTCAAAATTTAAAGGTTACAGTAAAGTAGTTCCTATAGTAGTCCTCAAATGATAAAGGTTACAGGAAACTAGTTCCTATAGTAGTTCTCAAATCATGAAGGTTACAGTAAAGTAGTTCATATAGTAGTTCTCAAATTATAAGGGTTACAGTAAAGTAGTTCCTAAAATAGTTCTCAAATCATAAAGGTTACCGTAAAGTAGTTCCTACAGTAGTTCTCAAATGATAAAGGTTACAGTGAACTAGTTCCTAAAGTAGTTCTCTAATGATAAAGGTTACAGTAAACTAGTTCCTAAAGTAGTTCTCAAATCATAAAGGTTACCGTAAAGTAGTTCCTACAGTAGTTCTCAAATGATAAAGGTTACAGTAAAGTAGTTCCTATAGTAGTTCTCAAATGATAAAGGTTACAGTAAACTAGTTCCTATAGTAGTTCTCAAATCATAAAGGTTACAGTAAAGTAGTTCCTAAAGTAGTTCTCAAATGATAAAGGTTACAGGAAACTAGTTCCTATAGTAGTTCTCAAATAATAAAGGTTACAGTAAAGTAGTTCCTATAGTAGTTCTCAAATGATAAAGGTTACAGTAAAACCACAAATATTGCATGTACTCGCAAATTGCAAAAGTTGGTATCATCAAGATGTAGCATAAAACAGGAAAAGGATTAAATATTTTTATTAAATGTGTGATATCATATATTGTGCTGTTATCATTTACACAGACTCTGCTAAGGTATGGTGCTAACCCAGACCTGAGAGATGAGGATGGGAAAACTCCCCTGGACAAGGCTAGAGAGAGGGGGGACGAAGGTCACCGTGAGGTCATTCAGACCCTCCAGTCACCTGGTAAGTGATCTATGTGACTAGCCATTCTGATTATATGGCCAGAAATAAATGTCTGATTAAATATGTTATTAAATATTCATTAATTAACAAAGACAAGTATCAAAAGTTAACAGAAACACTTCTTTCATGTTCTGATTTAGTTAGGATGTAGTCTGTCAAAAGTGGTTTTTAGTCACCCCTGGGGGAACCCCAGTGGGGACTATTAATTTCTGTTTCAGTCCCATATTTGACATCTGTTGCCTATCACTCTGAAGAGCTTTCGTGTGTTTGCTTCTGTCAGAATATAACAGACGCTAATTACAAGCTCTTCGATAACTCAGATGTAGATTTCCTTTTCAAACTGGAATAACCTACAACCTGAAGGCGTTCCAAATTTCACACGGGAATAACATATAACCTAAAGATGTTCCGAGTATGAATCAGGCACCTTCGAGGTTCCCGAAGGGGTAGACTGTTATATTATGGATTGCTGTTGATTGATTTAGATATTTTATGTCTGACCATCGACAACCGTAAATATTTGCATATGGTATGCACTTTTCTTAAGGAAAAATGAAAGTGTCAATAAAGGGGTGCGCAGATACTCGAGAACAATCCAAAACCAGTCCTTGGTCGCGACCATTTGATTTATCCGGGGTTTTTTCGGGGATTTTCGGAAATGTTTTGAAATTTGCTCGCAGCAATAAACTGTTAAATGTTGTTGAATAACGCCTTATTGCATTGTCTTTTTAACCATTACCAAAAATTGCAAATTAAAGTCATATTATACGATAGAATCGGATAAATAAACTCGACTAAAGTAGGCCCAACTTTCAGGTACGATACCACGTATGGGGAAACATAACGAAGAATTGCATTGTAATAGCACTCCGGGGTTAAAATGTCGTTCTTGGGTAAAATCATGCTGAACTATTTAATCTTGATAGTAGGAATGTGTCAAAATGACATTGGGAAAGTGGGGAAGTTTACAAGTTTGTGTATTGTAAAGATTCAAGATCACGTGATACTATTTACCTGCAGGAACTCACAAAGTCACATACATGCAAATTGAACCGATAATAATAAAAGTTTGAGTTTGATTTTTTTTTTATTAACAGGCTCAAAACAGCCAAATACATTCCAATGTTTTCATTTCAAAAAAGAATTGCTGAAAACACAATTGTTTTGTGTTTTTCATGTCTGGTGAATTTGGCTGTTGGCGGTCTGTGTCGGACCTGTTTGAGAGACTGCCTTCAACAAAGCATACACACTCTGCCGATAGGCCTATCAATGTCCGATTCAGTCAGATTTGCAGACAATCAGAAAACTACTTTGAATTGCGTATTTAAAATTTAAAATTGTAGCTTGGTCAATGATTTATTATACTGAAAATTATCATATACAAATATAGAAATGAGGTGACTTTCATGTCATTTTGATAATTTCTAGTTTTTAGCCCACCATCATCTGATCATTCAAATCCCCCTGCGTCCGTCGTCCGTCCTTAAACAATTCTTGTTTTCGGTATTTCTCAAGAAGTACTAGAGGGATCTTTCTCAAATTTTATATGTAGGTTCCCCTTGGTCCTTAGCTGTGCAGGGCAACTTTTGAGACTGATCGGATAAACAACATGGCCGACAGGCAGCCATCTTGGATTTTGATAGTGAAAGTTTGTTATCGCTATTTCTCGGGAAGTACGGGAGGGATCTTTCTCAAATTTTAAATGTAGGTTCCCCTTGATCCCTCGTTGTGTATGTTATATTTTGAGACTGATCATAAAAACAAAATGGATTAAAAGAAGAACTAAACAGATCTTTCTCATATTGCAATGATCGATTCTATTTCTTTCACATTAAGTACTGTACTAGTAAATATGTGAAATGACAAACTCACTTTGAAGGTTGGCTTTCATACACATCAGTATTAAGTTTAGATCAAAAGTTACCTCAAGGTGCATTTACTGTTAACATGACTCGATCAAACAGATTAGAGGAAAGAAGAGAAAAGATCGAACTGACAAAGAACTAATGAAGATGGTACAAAGGTGGGCACCAAGATCCCTCTGGGATCTCTTGTTTTATAAAATCAAACTTATATATTAGGGACATATTAATATGATTTTTTTGGCATTATAGCGGAGTGGATGGTGCCGGTGAACAGGGAGATCGCTGCTGAGGTGGAGAAGAAGAAGGAGGAAGAAGTGGTTGAGAAGGAGGAGGAATCTGAGGATCCCAAAGGTGACCCTGAAGTAGCCCCACTTTATCTAAAACAGCTTCTCCCAGTCTTCACACACGTGTTTCAGAGCACCATGCTTCCCTCTGTAAGGTAAGGATCTCCACCTGTATAATTGTAGGCAGTTAGGTCTTCGCTATAGATTCCTTGAATAATTGAAATATTCTGAAAGTAATGGCACTGTAAAATTTCTGTTTGTGTAGAGTTCTAATGTTCAGGGTAGAGATATATTTCAACAATATTTTATCATAGTAAATGTTGAAATTTTTTCTCTAGCTTTGACAGAAAATGTTTAAGCCCCGGGGGTATCTAGTGGATTAGGACAACTTGTCTTTCCTTGCTGAAGTTAGATATATGTTCTTATATTACAGAAAATCTGGTCTTTCCTTGCTGAAGATATTCTTATGTCCTTATTTTACAGAAGATCTAGTCTTTCCTTGCTGAAGATAGTCTTATGTCCTTATTTTACAGAATCTAGTCTTTCCCTGCTGAAGATAGTCTTATGTCCTTATTTTACAGAAGATCTAGTCTTTCCCTGCTGAAGATAGTCTTATGTCCTTATTTTACAGAAAATCTAGTCTTTCCCTGCTGAAGAAGATGATTCACTACATCACCAATCCATTACTAGGTGATATGTGTAATCCTGAGTTTTATGTGGCCAACTTTGCAGGATCTCTCACTGAAGTCATGGCAAATGTGTTAGACCATGAGGTAAGATCTTCTTTAAATAAAGGTAGAAATATGTAGATTAACAAATACCCTCTATTTATCCTACAGTAAGCCTCATTACTGATGATTGAGATATTGTAAGCAGGTTTCTTTTTCAGTTAAATTAAATTCATTCACAAGTTATGCTTCAGCATATATCTATAACAAAACAGTTCATATTTATTAAAAGTATCAGTTGATGATTTGTTGACATTATTGTAAAATTGATATTTCCCAGTATGATAATTTTCCAATATAACAATGATATCTCTATTTGACCTTTAACAAAGTAGTGATTGTAACTATCTGTTTGACCTTTAACCCAGGAGGATGACGAAGGCCATCAGGTAGTATTACACATCATCCAAGACCTGATGTCAAAGAACCAGGACACATTCCTTGAACATTTCGCACGCCTGGGCCTGTTTGGGAGAGTGTTGTCCCTAGCTGGCCCCATGGACGAAGAAGAAGGAGCCACGGCTAAAGAGGACAAGGTAAGTGGAGATCTCTATGTCTCTAGTATTGTGTGTTGTATTGAGATACTTCAGTGGCAGGAAAATATCCTGTAAGCAAATGGCTAGTCTGGTGTATTCCAAATCAAGGCCATGAGCCTCTAGACTTGACAAGCTTTATTCATCACCATTCTTGGCTTTCACTCTCTAATCCTAGCACAATTGTTTGCTCTTAACATTGTTCAGATTTTGTTTGCCCCTAATGCTTCTAAGGTCATCACTAACCTTTGATCCTGTGTTATTGTTGACTTCTTACCCAATTGCTTGTTTACGTGTCTGACCTTTGACCTCAGGACGAGGATGAGCAGCTCCAGGAGGATGCCCTTGACATTCAACAAGGTCGTCCATATCACTGGAAGGACTGGTGCATGGTTCGTAGTCGCGACTGTCTCTACCTCTGGAGCGACGCTGCAGCTCTTGAACTCAGCAATGGTAGTAATGGTTGGTTCCGGTTCATTCTGGACAGCAAGCTTGCCACAATGTACTCAAGTGGCAGCCCTGAGGGTGGACCGGACAGCTCAGAGAACCGTGGCGAGTTTCTGGAAAAGCTCCAGCGTGCCAAAAGTCAGATCAAGTCTGGTACCCCAAGTCGGCCCATCCTGTCTCGTACCTCCTCTCCTCGCATGGTCATCGGTAACTGGTCACTCCAGTGCAAGAAAGAGGGGGAGATTCAGATACACAACGCTGATGGTCAACAGGTGATGAATGTATCTATTCTATTTTTTTATTCTTTTGTTCAATTTTGTTCCTTTTTGGTTTTCACTTAAAACCTGATTTGAAGACATTTTTGTTCAGCAACATCTTATAAATGCTTTTCATTTGTTATAAATCAGACATTAGTTCAGATGATGCCTACATCTTTGTTAATGATTCAGGTTTTAAGTTTGTTATGTGTTCCCATTGTTAAAGCATTTTATGAAAGGTTTTTCCTATTTATTCCATGTGTCACCTGATATTCGCAATGCATTGTTTTTTGGTCAAATTTTGTTTTGTTATTAATTTTTTAATTTTATTTTGTGGTTTGTTTCCTGTGTGAGTTATGTAAAATTCACTTTGACACATAGTACAGGTCAATACTGAATTTATTAAGAGCACATACTGTATTGATTAAAAGTAAAAACAACTCACCATACCTGAAAAATTTGATATTCCTATGATGTAAAGAAGGCAATTATCTCATTAATGAATTATTTTAAAATTCTCTGTTGAGTTAGTTAATAATTTTTCAAAATCAGTCATATCAAGATTGTTGCCTTAATACCAGCATAAAACAGACAGTTGTATTATAATACCAATAGAATACAGTTGTAGTGTAATACCAATAGAATACAGTTGTAGTGTAATACCAATAGAATACAGTTGTAGTATAATACCAATAGAATACAGTTGTAGTGTATATGCGTAATACCAATAGAATACAGTTGTAGTATGATACCAGTAGAATACAGTTGTAGTGTAATACCAGCAGATTACAGACAGTTGTAGTATAATACCAATAGAATACAGTTGTAGTATAATACCAGTAGAATACAGTTGTAGTGTAATGGAAGCAGAATACAGTTGTAGTGTAATACCAATAGAATACAATTGTAGTATAATACCAGTAGAATACAATTGTAGTGTAATACCAATACTATACAGTTGTAGTATAATACCAATAGAATACAGTTTTAGTGTAATACCAATAGAATACAGTTGTAGTGTAATACAAATAGAATACAGTTGTAGTATAAAACCAGCTGATTACAGACAGTTGTAGTATAATCCCAATAGACTCCAGTTGTAGTGTAATACCAATATAATACACTTGTACTATAATTCCAATAGAATACAGTTGAATAATAATACCAATAGAATACAGTTGTAGTATAGTACCAATAGAATATAGTTGTAGTATAATACCAGTAGAATAAAGTTGTAGTGTAATGGCAGCAGACTACAGTTATAGTATAATACCAGTAGAATACAGTTGTGGTTTAATACCAGCAGAATACAGTTGTAGTGTAATACAAATAGAATACAGTTGTAGTATAATACCAACTGATTACAGACAGTTGTAGTATTATACCAATAGAATACAGTTGTAGTTTAATAGCAGTAGAATACAGTTGTAGTTTAATGGAAGCATAATACAGTGTTAGTGTAATACCAATAGAATACAATTGTAGTATAATACTAGTAGAATACAATTTTAGTGTAATACCAATACTATACAGTTGTATTATAATACCAATAGAATACAGTTGTAGTGTTATACCAATACAATACAGTTGTAGTGTAATACCAGCAGATTACAGACAGTTGTAGTATAATACCAATAGAATATAGTTGTAGTATAATACCATTAGAATACAGTTGTAGTGTAATGACAGCAGAATACAGTTGTAGTATAATACCAATAGAATACAGCTGTAGTGTAATACCAATAGAATACAATTGTAGTATAATACCAGTAGAATACAGTTGTAGTGTAATACCAATAGAATACAGTTGTAGTATAATACCAGCTGATTACAGACAGTTGTAGTATAATACCAATAGAATACAGTTGTAGTGTAATACCAATATAATACAGTTGTAGTATAATTCCAATAGAATACAGTTGTATAATAATACCAATAGAATACAGTTGTAGTGTTATACCAATAGAATACAGTTGTAGTGTAATACCAGTAGAATACAGTTGTAGTATAATACCAATAGAATACAATTGTAGTATAATACCAATTGAATACAGTTGTAGTATAATGCCAATAGAATACAGTTGTAGTGTAATACCAATAGAATACAGTTGTAGTGTAATACCAGTAGAATACAGTTGTAGTGTAATACCAGCAGATTACAGACAGTTGTAGTATAATACCAATTGAATACATTTGTAGTATAATGCCAATAGAATACATTTGTAGTATAATGCAAGTAGAATACAGTTGTAATATAATACCAGCAGAATACAATTGTAGTATAAGGCCAATAGGAATAGAATACAATTGTAGTGTAATACCAATAGAATACAGTTGTAGTATAATACCAATAGAATACAGTTGTAGTGTAATACCAATAGAATACAGTTGTAGTATAATACCAATAGAATACAGTTGTAGTGTAATACCAATAGAATACAGTTGTAGTATAATACCAATAGAATACAGTTGTAGTGTAATACCAATAGAATACAGTTGTAGTATAATACCAATAGAATACAGTTGTAGTGTAATACCAATAGAATACAGTTGTAGTATAATACCAATAGAATACAGTTGTAGTGTAATACCAATAGAATACAGTTGTAGTATAATACCAATAGAATACAGTTGTAGTGTAATACCAATAGAATACAGTTGTAGTATAATACCAATAGAATACAGTTGTAGTGTAATACCAATAGAATACAGTTGTAGTATAATACCAATAGAATACAGTTGTAGTGTAATACCAATAGAATACAGTTGTAGTAGAATACCAATAGAATACAGTTGTAGTGTAATACCAATAGAATACAGTTGTAGTATAATACCAATAGAATACAGTTGTAGTGTAATACCAATAGAATACAGTTGTAGTAGAATACCAATAGAATACAGTTGTAGTGTAATACCAATAGAATACAGTTGTAGTATAATACCAATAGAATACAGTTGTAGTGTAATACCAATAGAATACAGTTGTAGTATAATACCAATAGAATACAGTTGTAGTGTAATACCAATAGAATACAGTTGTAGTATAATACCAATAGAATACAGTTGTAGTGTAATACCAATAGAATACAGTTGTAGTATAATACCAATAGAATACAGTTGTAGTGTAATACCAATAGAATACAGTTGTAGTATAATACCAATAGAATACAGTTGTAGTGTAATACCAATAGAATACAGTTGTAGTATAATACCAATAGAATACAGTTGTAGTGTAATACCAATAGAATACAGTTGTAGTATAATACCAATAGAATACAGTTGTAGTGTAATACCAATAGAATACAGTTGTAGTATAATACCAATAGAATACAGTTGTAGTGTAATACCAATAGAATACAGTTGTAGTAGAATACCAATAGAATACAGTTGTAGTGTAATACCAATAGAATACAGTTGTAGTATAATACCAATAGAATACAGTTGTAGTGTAATACCAATAGAATACAGTTGTAGTATAATACCAATAGAATACAGTTGTAGTGTAATACCAATAGAATACAGTTGTAGTATAATACCAATAGAATACAGTTGTAGTGTAATACCAATAGAATACAGTTGTAGTATAATACCAATAGAATACAGTTGTAGTGTAATACCAATAGAATACAGTTGTAGTATAATACCAATAGAATACAGTTGTAGTGTAATACCAATAGAATACAGTTGTAGTATAATACCAATAGAATACAGTTGTAGTGTAATACCAATAGAATACAGTTGTAGTATAATACCAATAGAATACAGTTGTAGTGTAATACCAATAGAATACAGTTGTAGTATAATACCAATAGAATACAGTTGTAGTGTAATACCAATAGAATACAGTTGTAGTATAATGCCAATAGAATACAGTTGTAGTGTAATACCAATAGAATACAGTTGTAGTATAATACCAATAGAATACAGTTGTAGTGTAATACCAATAGAATACAGTTGTAGTATAATACCAATAGAATACAGTTGTAGTGTAATACCAATAGAATACAGTTGTAGTATAATACCAATAGAATACAGTTGTAGTGTAATACCAATAGAATACAGTTGTAGTATAATACCAATAGAATACAGTTGTAGTGTAATACCAATAGAATACAGTTGTAGTATAATACCAATAGAATACAGTTGTAGTGTAATACCAATAGAATACAGTTGTAGTATAATACCAATAGAATACAGTTGTAGTGTAATACCAATAGAATACAGTTGTAGTATAATACCAATAGAATACAGTTGTAGTGTAATACCAATAGAATACAGTTGTAGTATAATACCAATAGAATACAGTTGTAGTGTAATACCAATAGAATACAGTTGTAGTATAATACCAATAGAATACAGTTGTAGTGTAATACCAATAGAATACAGTTGTAGTGTAATACCAGTAGAATACAGTTGTATTGTAATACCAGTAGAATACAGTTGTAGTATAATGCCAATAGAATACATTTGTAGTATAATGCAAGTAGAATACAGTTGTAATATAATACCAGCAGAATACAATTGTAGTATAAGGCCAATAGGAATAGAATACAATTGTAGTGTAATACCAACAGAATACAGTTGTAGTATAATACCAATAGAATACAGTTGTAGTGTAATACCAATAGAATACAGTTGTAGTATAATACCAATAGAATACAGTTGTAGTGTAATACCAATAGAATACAGTTGTAGTAGAATACCAGTAGAATACAGTTGTAGTGTAATACCAATAGAATACAGTTGTAGTATAATACCAATTGAATACAGTTGTAGTGTAATACCAATAGAATACAGTTGTAGTGTAATACCAGTAGAATACAGTTGTAGTGTAATACCAGTAGAATACACTGTAGTATAATACCACTAGAATACATTGTAGTATAATACCAGTAGAATACATTGTAGTGTAATACCAGTATAATACAGTTGCAGTGTAATACCAGTAGTATACAGTTGTAGTGTAATACCAGTAGAATACATTGTAGTGTAATACCAGTAAAATACATTGTAGTGTAATACCAGTAGAATACATTGTAGTGTATTACCAGCATAATACAGTTGTAGACCAAAGGAAACTGACTACAGATGTGCATTTTCTATGACAATCAATTGATATTTGGTGCAGTAGACATAGACCTTGGTATATCCTAGTTTGTTTGATGCAGCAGGCCACTATTTTGAGGGAGGATCTTCAGGGCTTTATCTTTGAGTCTAACCGTGGCACCAAGCACTCCTTCACAGCAGAGACATCACTTGGACCGGAATTTGCATCTGGCTGGGGCGGGAAGAAAAGCAAGAAATTCAGGTCAAAAACAGAAGAAATCAAAACTAAAGTAAGTTGGTTAAATACAGGATTTCGCTAAAAATTAAATAACTACTTGAAGAGGATTTCACTAAAAAATAAATCTCTGTTTCATGAGGATGTCATTTAAAAATGAATCTCTTCTTCAGGAAATACTTACATGAATAAGAGATTGATTCATAAAAAATAAATTATGTTTAAGGTGTTACAGAGTTTGTATTGGAAAGCAATTGATGAATCATTCACATTCATGATAAAACTTAGGGAGCAATTGTTATTGAGTTATTAAATGCTGTATTATTGCCAACAGGTTCGACAACAAGCACGTGGGATTTATGAGGACTACTTCAGGGCAGCAGAGGCAATGCCTCGGGGAGTGGTTGCCAAGATACGCACCATAGTACAACAGCTAGAGGCTGCATGTGCCAAACAGATCAGCCAAGTCAGGGTGAGTTGCCTGCCCTTGAATAATGTTGAATATATCCGTTATTGTGTACTCTAGATTGTAATATTGCTTTGTCATAAAGATCATAAGATATGTTGTGCTATAGTATTTTATGTGTTGTTTTCTTAGCACTTTCTCAGATAATGTATTGTTTGGTTGACTATTGTTGATTGCTGCCCAGTGGATGATGTGATGGATTGATTACGTTTGATGTTACAGTCCCCTGATGGAGCGGTTACGTGGTTGGAGGACATGACTGCCTCCTTGGCCGAGCTGGTCATGCTCCTGAAGGATGACCATACTGTATCTGCTTATGAACTTCACTCCAGTGGCCTTGTACAGACGCTGCTCAACATCCTCAACAATGTCAGTATAACCTAGGGTAGTCAAACTGATTAAATCAATAACTTGTCACGCATTGAGTGGAAAAACAACACTAACACTTCTGTTCGTGCACTGTCTTTTTTTCTTCTTATTATTGTTCACCTAATATTTGAAAGATAATTGATAGGTGTAACCCAGGTAAACTTAGGGCAATTTATGGGGTATTTAACTGTCTGACGTTTCCAACAGTGAATTTTGTATTTGGTTCTCGCTCGATTTTCCAATTGAGTAACTGACTAACTATTGACTTTAAGTTCTTAACATCTTCAACAATGTTAGCCCCATGGTAAAAACACTTGGAACTGTTAGTCCAGTATGCGTTGTATAAGATGACTTGAATACACTTATTTGGTGATGTATTTATTTTGCACACAGCAAACAATTGTAATAAAGAAAGATCTCTAGAGTATTATTTGATTTTATGCCCTCAGAATATAGAAGATTCCAATAGTAAGGAAAGTAAGAAGAGGACACGAGAGAGAATTGACCTGTTTAAAGGTGTTTTTCAGGAAAAGGAAAGGTAAGTTATGTATAAAAAAAACTCACATCATGCTTCATTATCAATTATGAATGTGCAAAAATTTTAGGGAGAAAGCACTTCTGATTTGATGAGAAAAAATAATCATGGTAGAGAGTTCAATTTCTGGAACTGAATAATGTCATTGTACTGTTGTAGGGGTGTATGCTTGGTGTGAAAAAAAACATGTCTTCAAATTTAGACTTAAATCATCACACTCTGAAACTCTGTAACAATAATTAAGGTGACTTGTCTCCAGGTTTATAGGACATCAGTGATTAAGGTGACTTGTACTCCAGGTTTATAGGACATCAGTGATTAAGGTGACTTGTACTTCAGGTTTATAGGACATCAGTGATGTCTATTTCCGGTCTCACAGCTGGTCAAAAGCATCATTGATAGTTACCCCTGCTTTGCCTTTTTGAAGCATCATTAAAAGTTACTGCTGATCTGTCTGTTTGAAGCATCATTAAAAGTTACTGCTGATCCGTCTATGTGAAGCCTAATGAAAAGTTACTGCTGATCTGACTATGTGAAGCCTAATGAAAAGTTACTGCTGATCTGTCTATGTGAAGCCTAATGAAAAGTTACTGCTGATCTG